GTGTTTATGCCAGAGCGGGAGGAAGAGAAGTTGCATGAGTGCTGCATGGATTCTGCAGGGCCGCAACGCCAGCACGTTGGGGCATACATCGGGCAAAAGCCAAACATGCTTCTCAAAGGACACTTCACGGGGCAAATTGCTGGATACCTGGTGCCGTGGAGCTGGGTGGAGACGAGTGTGTTCAAGCTACAGCAGCAGGCCCACGAGTTCCAGGTGTTCGGGTTAGAGGCGGCCCTCCAGGCCGCGGTGTCAGCCTCCGATATTCAAGGAGTTGCAGGAGTGAACCTGGCCGGCAGTGGTACTGTTCATGTGCACGGCCGTGAAGTTACAAGAGGTGAATGGGCAGCTGACTCACAGCCTACTAAGGAATTTAGGAGGAGGTTGACAGCGAGCACAGGATGAGTGTGGGCAACAGAGCGGCATGGGAAGGGTGGCAATCGGGGGTTCCCGGCTTCCACGACCAGAGGAGTGCAAGTTGGAGCCCAGTGGGTGCGGGCTCCCAGATCCTAGTAAACCCGGGACTGGGAACGCCTCACGGTGGGGGGGCTGTGATGGACCGCGGCTGAGCCCGCCTGCCAGTGTAGTGGTGGCTGTAAACCAGGAGCTGGGTCAGCGGGGATATCAGGGAGTGGGCATGGAGCAGATTATGGAGAGTGCATACAGGGGCCATGTGAATGGCACTGAATTGTGTACTAGTTATGCAGGGAAGGGGCCCTGTGTTAAGGTGCAGGTTGGGCAGCGCTGCTGGTATAAACACCCAGCAACAGAGGCAGAACGGGTGGCCCAACGGGCGGACACCCTGGTTAGCTGCAATGAGACGCCACACAAGGAGACCCAAGCCCAGAGGCCCAGGCTTACTGTGTTGACTGTGATCAAGCAAGGGATAGAAGGGGAAGGAGCCGGAGGATCTAGCACTGGCTACCACACGGACACCCGGGAGGAGGAGGGAGCTGATCTGGACGAACTGCTGTCGTGAAATGATGACCCTTGTGAAGGCAGCAAGTGGGTGAGTGAGGAGCAGAAAGGGGAGAACCCGGCGTTGCAGGACGAACACCAGCAAGAGGAGCGGGGACACCCAAGGAAGCATGCAGTGAGGCATACAGCTGCTACAGGAGGCCGGACAGAGGCTACAGCCTCTAGGGTGACATGATGCAGTAGATCAGCAGAATGAGCAAGAGTTGTAGAAGAGATCGTCTTTTGCTTCCGGACCCGAGGACTACCAGCCAGGAAAGCTACTTACACATGTAGCAGTGTGGTGAGAGTTCTTCCAGGCAGCTAAAGAAGGCTGCCCCCTCACAGACAGAGACGTTGGCTAGGCCACCTGGAGGGAGGGCCCCAGCTGGAGTGGGTGTCATGCGAACACCCAGGACAACAAATAGTGCCTGAGCGGGACTGCAAGCTAGCTATTGTGAAGGAGTTGCTGCAGGTCGCGATGCTGGACTGCAACCCGGAAATAATAATGGCAGGTCACCGGCCGCATGCAGTGCAGTTCCTACAGCTGCATTGTTACAGCCGAGTTAAGCACGGCTCTCTGCGGTGGGAGACTGGAATGCCCAGCTAATGCACTACACCCATGCTTATCAACGGCCTGCGAGTGGTGGGAAAGGAGGGCAAGCTGCGCCTCTACATCCATCCGAGGTACTTTAATTGTTTCCTGAAATACCGGCCTGTGCAGCAAGAACGCCTGGCAGATGTCACAAGGGCCAAGGGGAGGAGGGGCTGGTGAGCGAGAGGACCCAGGGTACCATCTGGGAAGTGAGTGGGGAAGGGGAGACCGCTCCGCGGTGTGTTTTGGGGCTGGTCGGAGTTATCTTTGAAGGGTTTGGGTACTGTGGGAGTGTGGTCGCAGACGCAATGGCCTTCCCCACAGAAAGTTAGTAGGGAGTACGGATCACACGCTGACATTTAAGCAATGCATGTTGATTAAGTGCTCGTCCTGTAGTGCGGTACGGCAAGTGTGGCGCAGGAATTCGCAGCCCAGAGCTGGGCAGAGGACAGGGACGGATACCCTAGTTCGTTACAAAGATTAGCTGGGAACAACGCGCTAACTTCAGACAACGCAAGATCGCCCGATAACTGTGCAAGCAAGCACAAGTCAGAACCCCTCCCACCCGCCCGTCGATGTGGTGGGGAAAGGGGGGAGGACGAGCCACGAAGTGAGCACCAGGGCTAAGAGGGGAAGCACCAGCAGGAGGCGGAGGCTAGGATTGGGGACCGGAGCCGCGAGGGACACGAGTGGGCTGAGAGGCGTCGGTGTAGCGCTCCAGGACTTGAGGGCTGTGGATCTGGGAGAAGGTGTGGAGCTCCTCGTGGGAGGCGCCAGCGGCCTGCGTGGCCTGGATAATACCATGACGAAACCCATGAGGGGTTTGCCCGATGTAAACACCAGCCTCCTCCAGGTGTTTGCCCACTCGCATGGCCAAAGCGCTGCTGGAAAGCGGGCGCTCCATGAAGTGTTGGTGACCCCGGTCAGTGGGATGGAAGAGGTAGTCAGAGATGGCGGACCCTGGGGGGGCATCGGGGGCATGGCACAGCTGCCAATAGAGGGCGAGGGTGCGGATGAAGCAATGTCACGGAGAAGGGCTGGGGCGCAGTTCCAAAGGGGGAACTCGGCGCCCTTTGGATGTTTTGGTCCCAAGTTGCTCAATCCGTAAGGAGAGGGAGGGGTAGGCACCGAACGGGTCCGGTATTTCACGGAAGGGACCACCACCCTGCGGGTCACAGAAATCATGTAGCCGCAGTTTGCCTGTGTCATGGCCGTGGTAGCTGGTGTGCCACATAAATTGGCAGCTCAACATATCGTGTAGGGCGGGCTAGGGAGGTGGTGGAAGCCTGGAATCCGGACCAGAGGTGATCCATGAGGGTGGTAAAATCGCGAGGGGTAAGGGGCACGGCGGCTTGCTCCTCATAGCCACAGTCGGCGGCGAGGCGACTATAGCCAGTCTTGTAGGAGGACAAGGCGCTGGAGCAGCAGGGGTTGCCGATGCCGGTTCCACAATCGTAAGTGCTGCCGTGGCCCAAGCGGTTAAACAGTCCGGAGAGCAGA